AGGAGGAGGAGGAGGAGGAGGAGGGAGGAGGAGGAGGAGGAGGAGGAGGAGGAGGCGGAGGAGGAGGAGGAGGAGGAGGAGGAGGAGGCGGAGGCGGAGGAGGAGGAGGAGGAGGAGGAGGAGGAGGAGGAGGAGGAGGAGGAGGAGGAGGAGGAGGAGGAGGAGGAGGAGGAGGAGGAGGAGGAGGAGGAGGAGGCGGAGGAGGAGGAGGAGGAGGAGGAGGAGGAGGAGGAGGAGGAGGAGGAGGAGGAGGAGGAGGAGGAGGAGGAGGAGGAGGAGGAGGAGGAGGAGGAGGAGGAGGAGGAGGAGGCGGAGGCGGAGGAGGAGGAGGAGGAGGGAGGAGGAGGAGGAGGAGGAGGAGGAGGAGGAGGAGGAGGAGGAGGAGGAGGAGGCGGGAGGAGGAGGAGGAGGAGGAGGAGGAGGAGGAGGAGGAGGGAGGAGGAGGAGGAGGAGGAGGAGGAGGCGGAGGAGGAGGCGGAGGCGGAGGAGGGAGGAGGAGGAGGAGGAGGAGGAGGAGGAGGAGGAGGAGGAGGAGGAGGAGGAGGAGGAGGAGGAGGAGGAGGAGGAGGAGGAGGAGGCGGGAGGAGGAGGAGGAGGGAGGAGGAGGAGGAGGAGGAGGAGGAGGAGGAGGAGGAGGAGGAGGAGGAGGAGGAGGAGGGAGGAGGAGGAGGAGGAGGAGGAGGCGGAGGCGGAGGAGGAGGAGGAGGAGGAGGAGGAGGAGGAGGAGGAGGAGGAGGAGGAGGAGGAGGAGGAGGAGGAGGAGGAGGAGGAGGAGAGGAGGAGGAGGAGGAGGAGGAGGAGGAGGAGGAGGAGGAGGAGGAGGAGGAGGAGGAGGAGGAGGAGGAGGAGGAGGAGGAGGAGGAGGAGGAGGAGGAGGCGGGAGGAGGAGGAGAGAGGAGGAGGAGGAGGAGGAGGAGGAGGAGGAGGAGGAGGAGGAGGAGGAGGAGGAGGAGGAGGAGGAGGAGGAGGAGGCGGAGGCGGAGGAGGAGGAGGAGGAGGGAGGAGGAGGAGGAGGAGGAGGAGGAGGAGGAGGAGGAGGAGGAGGAGGAGGAGGAGGAGGAGGCGGAGGAGGAGGAGGCGGA